ATCTGCCAGGAAGAACGTGCCGCTGGCGAAAAAAACCTGCAGGGGGAACTGCGCAAAAAACGCATCTTCGTACCGGCAGCCGGTACGCTTTCTACTAGGTTGAGCTTTGTGTTTTTAATCCCTGCTCTCTCTTCCCTAACCTCTGCTGTAAAATCCTCTCCATACCTAGTAACAACGCTTGAAGGCGAAGTGCTAGCGCTCAGTATACACCGCTGGATCTGCTGTGACAAACGAGCGTTCGAAATCTCTTTCGTGTGTGGAGCCTTTGAATCGGTAACCATTCTAGATAACGAACGAAGCACAGGACTGCCAGAAGGCTAAAGATCGGGCGATGTACCCCTGATCAAAATAACCAATGAACGAAGAGAAGAGAAAATGTTGCCGCTATCAGCTACACCATTGGGCGTTTGAGCATGAATGTGCTCAGCAATAGTGAATCAATTGCGTTTTCAAGCATTAGTAAATAAAGCTCTATCAACTTGTGGATACCAGTGGCTTTTGTTGTTGCATCTGTTGGATAAGCAGTTGAGAAGATGCCACTCGCAAATATCACCAAAAGTTCTTTCAAAAACATCTGAAAACAAGCAAAAATATTAAAAAGAAACTGAGAAATTCAACAAAAAATGAACAAGTCAATGACCAAAGACCATATAAGTCTGAAATAAGGAAAGTAGAGTATTTAGACCAATTCAGAAGCTATGGATTTGTGGGTTTTCTACAAATCCGGTTTTTTCCAAAATGACAATTTTCAGCAAATCATCATCGAAGAGCCGCTGCAAGTTAAAGGAGCTCAAGGTGCCAAAAAGCTTCGTGCCATATTCGCTTTGAAAAGAAGAAAAACTTGAAATTTTGCTGTCGATAAAAAATTCTCGACAAGTTCCAGAAGATTTTCAGCATTTGAATAATGGCTGTAAAAAATCCAATCGTTAAAAGTGTAAATTTTATTATTTAAATTATCTATCCTTCGGAATAGATACATTTTTCTGCTTATTTTGGTTAAACCGGTTTTTTCGTGGTTGCAGAACAGAAACAAAAATTGCCTACGACCACCAATATTCCTAGAAAACATGTGACAGCATTGAAATGGACCTCCAGTAGCGCAAAAGAGAAAAAAAACTTAAAAAGAATTAAATCCCGCCGTAGTTTGCTTTTTATAAAAAAGCTGGGGCATTCCGGAGAGTAGAAAAGTAAATGCGAAGAGCGCCGTTATTTATTAATTATCCAGTTTATTCGTTTTAATAAAAAGTAATAAATGGCCAGCACACCGACTGCTGGTGTGAAGATGCGTTTTCGCATAGTTCTCTCAGGTTTTTGGCGCTAATGGCACTAGTTTTTCCTACAGATGCTTTTAGCTAAACGAATTAAAACTGGCTGCCAGAACGGTCAGAAAACCTCTCCTTAAAATTTCAGCTTTCTTGGTTTCCGAGTTAGCAATTTACCCGTAAAAAAATTCACGGGTCCATACGAACCATGCATATCAGGGGGTTGGGTTTGAACTCATAAAACCTATGTGGATGGGGGACATTCCCCTAAAATTACAGTCTCCTAGATTTTCAGGTTCCAGAGACAGCAGCATGTTTTCTTCCGCTTATTTATCCAAGCTTTCACGACCTAGTGCGTGGAAAGCAATTTACCCAAAAAAAAAAAAACTTTCACGGCCTAGCGCGTGGGAAGCATGCATACCGGGGGCTGGTTTTGGGCTCATTTATACCTACATGGATGGAGAAGGTCTCAACCCCCCGGACGCCTGGGTGCCGCATACGGACGTTTTGAAGAATATGTAGTTCCTTGGCGAGAAAGTGATCTCGGGAACCAGGCAAGCTAAGGGGCTGAAACTTTGTAGGAATATTCCCTGTGCATGTGTCAGTTAAAGATTTCGAATACAGCCCCCAGGTATGCGTGATACTCACGTGAAGACGTATGAAATTTTTGGTGGAAAAACTACTAACTCGGAAACCAGAAAAGCTAGAAAGCTGAAACTTTGGGGGAATATTTTCTATCCAAGTGGAACTCAAATATTCCAAACTCGGCCCCAAGCTATGCATGGTTCTTACGTGCACGTGAAAGACTTGGCACGAGATTTGTCGACTCGGGAGCTAGAAAAGCTGGAAGGACGAAATTTTAGAGGGATATTCCCTGTCCACGCGCGATTTAAAAATTTCAAATTCAGCTCCGAGCTATGCGTTGCACTCAGGTAAAGGCGTATGAAATTTTCTGCGAGAAAATACTAACTCGGGAACCAGAAAAGCTGGAAGACTGAAATTCTGTGGGAATGTTCTCTGCCCAAGTAAAACTTAAGTATTTCAAATTCAGCCTTGAAGTATGCGTAGTTCTTACGTTTGGGCACTTAAATTTTTGGCGAAAAAATTTCTCACTGAACAGATGGGTAACTTCTAAAGAACGATCGCTAGATAGAAATTGTATAATACTTTATGCAAAATTTACGGTGATTTATGTTAGTGACCGCAAAAGGCAGATGTAAAGCAACAACTATTCTTGCAGTTAATGATCTGAGCACTTCAAGTCCGAAACAAAAACTTATGATCGCAAGGGCCCGCCCGGCGTGTTCCAGTCTGGGCTTTGCATTGCATAGATGCAAAAAACGCATAAAAATGCATTTAAAAATGTAGGATCGAAATTATTTCAATAAAAAAACTTTAAAAAGCCACGAAACTTGACAGATCCTGCGTGATTGGTCCCAGTCATACCACTCTGATAGAAAGCTGGGTTTGTTTGTAAGTTGCTGCTGAATTTTTTTTTGAGCAGTAATCCGGGAATGAGATTAATCGGATTATTTAGTAATACTAACTCAGTTGACGTCGGCGAATAATTAATGCCAAGTGCTGCCAAAAAAAGAGAAATTTCCCGTTTTTGCTGTAGTCCAAAATTTGTGCTACATTTTCCTCAAACTATAAGCTGTCATAGTAACGAGGGGTGACATTCTTCCAACTGCTGAACTACTTGCGCAACGAAACGTGTTTTCAAGGAAAGTTACAGCAAACAGACCAGAAGGCCAAACATGGCGCTCGGACCAACGTTTTGCTTTGGAGTATTTCACGCCATTGTCTAATCGCACCTACAGCATACACTTCACATTTTGTGGTCATGTGCATCAATTTTACCGCATTAAGCCTGTTTTTCGAGATTGGCTTGCTCCGCTCAAATTTGGTCAAAATTCGTCTTGTTGGAACTGATAGATCTGCCAGAGCTCGACTTTTACTGCGCTCGATCATATGCTGTCTGATACCCCTCTCATATCGAGCAGTGGTGTTTCCAGACCAAATTTTGCAGGCGACAAAGCATAAGACTGGTTTTTCGTACGCAACAGCACGTACCGGTACGTGAAATTTTTAATCGGGAATTCCGCAGCTTAGGAATCAAGCTGCATATTGACTATTTTTTCACAATCAAATTGCAAAACAGTGAAAACCCTCAGTAAACAAACATCCGTTGGAACTGCGCAAAAGGATGGTCATACCGGCTACTGTGCTGAGTGCCCCTATTTATTGCATTTGCAAATATGCGCGCAAAAAACATGACCAATGGCAACGTTTAGTAGTCGGAGCCATTCGACCATGCGTTTCTGCAGTATTTCGTACTGAAGTCTCAATAACTAGAATTTATAGTATACTAGTCCTTGAAGTTCAGAAAGTTAATTGTGCAACTACGTGTACTTGCACAATGAAAATATCCCCTTAAAGTCTCAACCTCCCAGCTTTTTCGGTATCCAAGGTAGCGTTTTTCTAGCAAAACTTTTACTTGTTCACATGCGAGGTCTAGATGTCCGTGAAGGTGAACAAATTTTTACAGAACTTGCGTTTTTTATTTTTTTAAAAAGCGAACATTTACTGAAAAATCGCGGCCGGCTTCATGCAAAAGCTGGCAGTCACGTAACTGAAGGTCCATGCAGCTCTATAATGCAATACATTCACCCCAACCGACGCCCTTTCTTCTGCATGCCGCAAGAAGCCAAAGCACAGCCAATATGAACCGAAGTGTTAGGCTACAGGTCAGGGACCATTCCTGCTATTAGCGGTCAGCGAGTTTAGTACAAAAATGCATGTTCGCGCCAACAAGCCTGGTGCTTTCCATCCTGGATTGTTTTTGCTTATGTGCAAAAATACATAAAAATTCGCCACAGCATCATGGGTCATCAGAATATGCATTGTTGCATTTGCTTACAGGCAACCCAGGCTGGAACGCACCGGACGGGCCCGTGAGATCATGCGTTTTTGCACAGGACTTGAAGTAC